TAGTGGATGGAAACACATGACACGGCGTGCGGCATTTGATTAGAAGCACAAAGAACGAAGCTCAAGGTTTAGCACGCGATCGAAATGAGGACATCACAATGGCCAAAATTCTTCTACGTTTTCGTTGTAAACTTCACTTAAGCCGATATTGCCGGTATACGACATAACAAAGCAATTCGATCCGTACAGAGCGTCCAAGAGGCCGAATCCCGTCGAAACCTATCTCACAAAGCCATCGTTACGGCCAACGAGCCTTTTCGAAGGGAGATTTTTTATCGACTGTGTAAGCCCATAGCAACTCGAACATACATATGCAAAACAATGGAACTCCTATTTATCCATTTAATAATTCCCAATATCAAGACAACGTAATAGGACACATAAATATCTGTAAGTCTTCGGCTCGCATGTGCATTTTTTTCACAATTCAATTTAAATTTTGGGATATTATGCCAATTAAATTCACCATCATATATATATATATATATAGTAGGCCGAGAGTCCACTATATGCTTCTTTGCCTACCTAAACTCTAGGAGAAATTTTAACTTTTGTTTTAAGATTTAGAGAAGCGTGACACCCATTGCAGGTTTTGCTAGATGTGCAGCGGATAGCAATAGCAGAAGTAGGTTACGGCTGACCTCGTCTTTTCGCTACTATTAAGGTTGGTCACATCGGAAGTGAAGCCGGAAGTGGGACTCGCCAATTTCCTCACTCCAGCCCTTAGCCTCACGTACACTCCAGCCTATTAGCCAGCTGCTTGTTCGAACGGTGGGCTTCCAGTTCTGCTTATTATCTCGCGAGGCGCGCTTCTCATCGCTTCTCTTCGTGAACCGCCTGACCTGTTTTTTCCTATCTATTCTTCCCTCTGAAAAAACTAAGTTCATCATCATGGTCATAGTTCGCTCGTAGTTACCGAACTCTTATTACTGTCTGTGCTTGCGAAGCAAGTCTTTTCCTCCTGGAGATCGCAAAAGGTTAAAAAGTTTCGAGCGACAAGCCACACATACCATAGACACGCATATCGAGCTTCAGGCAGTCAGACGTCCGGAAGCCGACATCGAAGAATCATATTAAAGTGATAGGGAGTCACGGGACAACAGAGTAATCGGCAAAGAATGGTGATGAGGAAAACGTGTTGGTGTTTAACCTTATTTCCCAGCGCTAACTTTCGCGATATAGAGTTAACTGTATCTTGCTGATTATTAACCAGAAGGTTCGAAAAAGGTTCAGTCTTTTTTGCTAATTTTTGGACGAAATTTGTGTCCACTTGCATGGATTTTCATTCCTTGCGGCAAGATCCACTTGCCTAAACAATCGATCTTATCTGTCATTATGATCAAATCTAATTTTCTTTTTTAGGTTTAAAGCTATCCGAATCCCGCTGGCATCCCTTACACAAGACAAACGATCCTGTGGTCTAGGGTCATTCAGCGTCAACCTATCAGTCTCTACATCGTTCGGACCATTCCTAAGTGAAATTGGTCTACACAGGTCTTACCTTCTCATTTTTCGTTGAACGCCGCTTGGTGGCGTTCTTTCGATTTTGGTTGTTTCTCTACCACGATGGATGCAATCAGTCACCCGGATAACCATATAAAGCATGGCTGCGTTTATTCCTTCAACCATTGTAATGCACCCTCACATACAGAGACACAGGACAGTTATAGGATAGTATACCTGCATAGAAGGGACAATAGCGGTAACCCCGAAGCTGCAACCGTGCAGTCAAGTCGATGTATTCGGTAGAGGCCTGCACCCAACTGAATCACGGGGCTTCCCTCAGCAAGACAGGAGTTGAATGGCCGCTTGCCTTTTAGTCTATCCCAGTTTTTCGGCTCTCGTGCTTCAGCGATCTGTGCGGGTCACCAAAGCGTCGTGGTCAATTTTGCTTGGTGGCCGGGTATAGTCTTCGTCTACTTTTTCGAATCCAACCGCGCTGGTCCGTCTTAGCTCGTTGTTCTCTTCTAGGCTTACTCCTTTGTTGCAAGGCGTTCCTAGCCGCTACCAATCCGATCAATGACTCGCAATTTTAAGACTCTCAAATATTACATGTGTATCAAGGACTACCCTATATGCCGATCTTCTATCAACCATCTCTGATTTTCCCTCTCGAATCTAGGTCACTCTCTCCTAAACATCTTCATGCCTTGTTTCGTTCAACTGACTCGATAAAGATAACATGTTACCATTAATGCTAGGCTGGCCAATGTTTGACTAGAGCTCTGATCCACTTTCTTTCCTGGATATAGTAGGATGGGACAGCGTCATGCTTGTAAGTACGACATGATAAAGGGATTGTACGCACGACGCAGGACACAATTGCGGAGAGGAAAGAAAAGTCTAGGTGAGATAAGGATAGTCACTGATATAGGTTTGGCTATTAAGCAATTGGAGAAATCCGACTTCCATTGCCTATCATGAGCCATTACCCTGTCCATCTTCAAATTCTGCTCGAGAGTTAATATATCACATTCGGGTAAAAACTGATAATTCGCACTGATGGGCAGATTAGCGGTGCGTTATGTAGAAACCCTTATGATGTAGCGGCTAATTCGATAAACGAAGGTAGAGAGAACTGCTTGTCTGATCGAAAATTACGGATTTTAGTACTCCAGTGATGTACGTCTTAATAATTAAATTATTGCTCAGAAGTAACTTGGCCTTTAAAATAAAATTATATATATAATGTACATACACAGATAACTACTGGCGCATATCGATGACCAAGGCGTAACGCACTGAGTGACGACCAGGAATTGCTTGGGCGTTTTTTGTTCATTTCTGTTGTTGTTGTTAGTTATTTTTTGTTCATTAATGAGAATCTATAGGCCCGACCAATGGACGAAGCACCTTCATGCCTTATGATTTAATTCGACAGATTTGAAAGTTCATAAGTGTAAATGTCATTTCCGCATAGTCGGTTATAAAGAATTAATCCAGTTGGCTCATTAGATTGACACTAAGAGAAAAACAGAAGTTTTCTTGCTGTCGAACGCAACTCCCTCTAGACGCATGCTTCTAGCTCTTCAGTGTTGCTGCAGCCCCGCTTGTCTACTACTGCAAGCTTTCCAATGAATATGCAGAGAAATCAAACTCTCTTGTGGGTCCCTTCGTGCCTTGTGGCCTAACCGACACAAAGTCGAGGCTCATCCCATTCCTCAGGACGAAACTTAAATGGTATCGATTCAGCAACGTTTAAACCTCCACATTAGCGAAAACATGAAAGGACATAAATTATTATAAAATTAATTTTGCAACACTACAACTTGTGACTTTAACTTGCAACTGCTTTTGTAGCATTCGATTGGCAAACCGCGTATCTGACCTACTGGCTAAGTTAGATAGGTCGTTATAAATTGCTATCTAAGCGTAATGGTTGTTTCCGTAACTGTACGTGCTTCACGAACATTCGTCATGCTGACGCAATTGGCACTTGACGAAGGGTCACTGAGTCCACATCCAAAATGCTAACCGCAATGGTTTGAGGTGCAGCTAGCAACTATGAATTTACCAACGAAATCTGAACGTACGTGCTCTCACTCGAATGTGGGACGATAGGTATCATGCAAATCTACAATCCTATAAGCTCTATTGAGTAGCCGTGTCATACTGAGGCAACAGAACAAATGTTAGCGTAACGTGAGAGATAAGTCTGGAGCCAAAGGTCAGCCGTTACGAGCTGCGTGCACAATTGTGTTATCAGATTGGGTATAAAAGACCGAAAAACTCCGAAGCGGTCTCGATGGATTCAACGCAGAGAGAGAAAAACTCACGAGTTAACGACTGTTATTCCGTTAGCTAATCTACGTCTTTGCCGCACTCTTCAGAACAGCGGGAGTTGATTGCGAGCAGAGAAGTCTTCATATGATGAGTGTGCGCTAGCTCTGATCGGCATGCATAACAGATCCATACAAACGTACGCAAGAATGATTCGTGTCGTTTGTTGTATTGAGGTACTCTGCTAATGTATTGTTAGAACGGTGGTAGGCAAATATCAAATTGTGGGCTTATCTTAAATGTGCATACGTAACATGAAATGCTGTATAAAATTTGGAACTTCATTTTTAAGCTGGTAGTTTCTAGCGACCTATTAAACAATACCTGCACGCCATCTAAGGAAGTCATGACACAAAATGTGCGATGATTTCCCATGCCATGAAGTTCTTTCGCAGTGTTTAATGGTCCATGAAATAGCTTGACTAATGTGAAATGTATATTACCGTAAAAAAAAAAAACTACGACGATTTGCGCACCGCAGACGGGACTGAATGGATGCGTGTCGGAAATATCGGAACTGGAACTTAAACCATTATTTACTATCGTAATTGATTGAACAAACGAAGATGAGGTCATCAAACCGGTATCGTGACTATTCCTTGACGGTAGTCGTTGAGCAGGAGTGCATTTTGTCAGTTCGCTTCATCGTTGTAGTTCAGTCATAATGGCGGTGATTGCATGTGGTTAACTGATGAGTTAGCTAGCCATGCCGAACTTCCTTTCCGAAGTGCCGAAGTGTCTTTACTTGCGGCAGATGCTCTGAGCACGTAGTACCCAGTTTCCGTTGCGAAAATGAGTTTTGAACATCGTATTGAATAGAGAACAACTAATTAAATATACACAGAATGCTGTCTATCATTCAAAAGCTAATAAATAGACTAACACTGATGTTATTACCCACGGACACGATGGTTATTCACGCTGTTTGGATTTATTTACAAGTTTTTAAGGAATCAGAAGGTGCCTCTACTGAACTCCAGTAGAACCGCATGAAATCGTCTTGTGACGTGAAACTTACGTCACTCATAGCACGCATTCTTATGCTGTTTAAGATATTCGTATCGTGTCTTGCGGTTGAACTGCATTCTGCTACATTGTTAAAATGTGAGAAACTAACAACTGCTAAAATTAGCCTGTTGCTCCCGAATATACATATATATATACCTAATCACGATAAACCTGTGGATTGTATTCTGTTTAACTCTGTTTAACTTATCTAGTTTGGATGACAGCAGTTCAGTGTCGTCGGGTTGTCTTTCGGATACCTTTAACGAGATTTCATCAACCAATGACGCTCTCACCGACTCTTCGCTCAGCTCCGACCCGTACGGGGTGCTCAAGCGACACGGACTCCATGCACATTCATCGGCTCATCTACAAGCGGTAGCTGGGGCAGCCCAACAGCATACAGCGGCCCACAGCGGCAGCGCACGGAATCACGGCAGCAGCACTTCTACGAATGACGTGAACTCTTCACCGTCCCATGTATCGCAACATCTTCAACAGTCGCAAGTACAAAGTCAAAACCCACAGGCACAGCAGGCACTAGCAAAGAGGTAAGTTTAAACGTCATGTCCTGCTATTTCTATAAAAAGCCTGCATTCAAACAACGAATGCTATAAATATCTATCATATGATACCATATAATTTATAAGGTGCTATCCCGAAATTCCCACCCACGTAAAGTATTTATATTCAGATAGAACGTTAGTTGTATTCGTTTTAATTACTCTGATGCCGACCGGTAATATTATTAAGAAAACATATGCGTAATTTAAAAATAATAATGTAGAAGGGTATGATGACACAAATTGTATAACCTGAGACAAATATGGCACAAGAGACATCATTTAAAACATTAGAAGAATGAATAGAAAAGTTATGGGCAAGACAAACGAGTTCGCCATTGCATTGTTCTACAGGAGGGTATCATCTCGCGAAACTCATTTTCTCCATATTTTTCTACTGGCCCTGGGGCCGCCATCCGGCTATCCTTGAGAACAACCCCATCCAATGGCCATGCCTTGCGGTCATCCAGCAGTACCCTCGCCTTCTATTATCTTGATCGTTCTGCCCACAGGAAGTTATGACCAAATAACTCGAACTAGTTGTATCCTATTGCTGTTCTTTTTCCTTGTTCCTGGATGCCCCTCACGGTCTTACACAACCAGGGTCGAAAAGAGTCACGATTATCCGGGTGGGCTAGTGGCATGCTCTAAGCTGGTCTAAAAATCCGAAGTGGCCTGATGCGTAACGATTGGGAGACCTCACAACACAAGGACAAAATGAATCCCTCGTAACTACTTCTTCGAGGCACTAAGGGAGGCATTCAGTGTAGAATCCTGGGGTGAACGGTTTTCGCTCTGCTGCTATACGAGTAAGGTGCTCGATAAAAGAAGCAGTCCGAGAAGAGTAGCAAGTGAGTCTCGCCTACGTTGAAGTGCTTGTGACATAAAGACCCGCCTATAACAGCCACAACCACCTAACCTATCTCGAAACATCGGGAATGCTACACTTGGATGTTTAATGCTTTCGCAACCGCACTCATACAAGCACACAAGGCGAGCTTTCTTTCCCTCAGGGCATAATCATCTGGAGTATTCTGTGCTGAACTTCTCCTGTTTCTAAGCGCGGTAGTCACTCAATATAGTAGCAGAAATTTGTCAAGACGTAACCATGTTCTCGGCCTTTGTGACATGAGAAATTCAACTAAGCCTGAATGGTTATCGCTCATTGCGGTGAAGGGATTTCTAACGCATTAGAGTTGTTAGGCAATCTCTTTTGCAATTACGGCATCGATAGCGCCTTTGGTCACTACGGAAACAACGATAGGCGTAGATAAATGCACATATAATCATTCAGAAACATTTTCTGTAAACCCTGATGCAAAAACGACAGCGTCGACATTAAAAGGGGACAGCGAAGATTCAAAGAGGGCAAATATATATGCAAAAAGGAGCTTGTTGACAATTCATCGTGATACTCTATTGCCTCAACGAACCGAGTGAATTTTGTCCTGCATTAATGTAGAAGAAGAATCACGTTGCTTAATGTTATTAAACAATTTTTATTTATATACAATATATATTTTGCAGAAGCAAGGATGCTTCGGATCGCGGTGCCACTGGAAGCAGCGACAAAGATAAGAAGGATAAGGACAAGAACAAGAAAAAGGAGGCCAAGGCCAAATCGAAAATGATGCTAATGATTCGAAATGGAGTTCCTTCGAATGAAGTCAAACTCTATGGAACCGTCGATCCACCGGAAGCGATTTTCGAGGCCGCCAAGAGTGAAGGTCTCATGCAGCAGCAACAGTCACAGGTACATTATCAAACTACGTTTTAAGACTAAGGGAAAAACATATCACTGCAGAAAACATTTAGATAATTTTTGGTCCTATAATTTCATTGTAGTTATTTTATGAAGGTGGACAAATCTAACAATAATGCATGGGTATAAATATCGTATTGGTCGATCTATCCTTAAGTATAGTACATACTTTTCTAGGATCGACTCTTTTTAGGGTTATGATGTTTCACTGGAATTAACAGCTATAGGAGTGCTAGGTCCGAAAATTTAGTTTCAACTCTACTAAGATACACGGTGGCATGCCAAAGAGGTCGCTGTATTGATCTATTTGGTTGGTTCGGATTGCTTAAAGGACAAAGCGTTATACCTCCGCATGTGAACCTCTCTCTGAGATCACGAAGCGCAAGTTACCGGGATCGCAAACAGCGCGTGCTTTCCCCAGGGGCAATTCGCATAGTCGAATCCAATACGCGACTATACCGAAAAATATTTATCTACAATATTCAGATTCTTCGGGGTCTGCGTTATCGCAAGGGAAACTCACGTTGAAGGAACGTTGAAGACCTCAGATTTTTCGCTATTCGGGAAGGAAAGTAATTCTCTAAAAGGACATGACGAATGAAATTTCACCATAAGTGAGGCATGATTTTTTTTTAAAACTGTGCTTTCCTTACGTGCCAAGGATGATCTGATTGAGGAAATGAGAACCTTTATAAGAGACTCAAGTCAGCCTCAATCATTAGTAGGCAATACGTTGATGACAAAATCAACCGGCAGCGAGTCTTCAAGAAAGAGCACATTTTTAAACGAGTTTTAAAAGGCTCGCTATCAGAAAAGGTGTCGTGGGTAAATGAAAAACATCTACAAAGGCAATGTTGAAAAGGAAAGATTCTAAGACTCAGTATATAAATTTGCGACCCATATTATTAAATCCAGGCCATCGTCATGAACTGTGCTCGGAATTTAGAAGAGATCGTCAAAGATTCGAATTGCTTTCTGTTTGTTTAGCGTAAAAATACAGTATGCATGTGTGTGTTCATTATCGATGTTCATGCGAAACTTGTACATTCGAGGAAGTTCATCTTCACAGTTATTCTTCCTTCTTACGAATATAAAATCACATCACTCATAAGACTTTAGAAGTCTTACGCCCACATAAATGTGTGCTACATAGATTAGTAGTCTGACCTACTTTCTGCTTTTCGATACCTTTATATCAAAACAGCTTCCTTCGTTGACCTCTGGGTTATGCCAGACATGTTGTCTGACCCTTTGGCATTTCGGCAGTGCAAGTTCTCCCTTAACAGTAATCTTTTCCTGTTAGACAGATATTTACATGGCTGGATAAACAGGTTTGCCGTGTTCAGTTTTCCTGCCCAGTTGACCGAAGTGAGGTTTACAAACACCTGGTCCCAACTGAAGACCAGAACGAAACTGAAGATGGGGTTGCTCCAGAATGAAAACAATATGACACCATAAATGCCGAAATAGCAGTATACCGCGTGCAATGCGAACTGCCGCTTTGTCTAGTGGATTTATGCTGTTCACTCCGACCGTGTAAGCATCTCAAAGCTGTTGAGGTTTCAGGTCTCTGAGACTTCAGAAAACCATCAAGGCCGAATAATTCTACTAGGATTTGTCTAATAGCGGAATATAGAGGAATTACCCATCTACAAGCTTTACAAGCAACAGTTCGTGTTAATAGTTCACTGAATATAAAGGCGAAGGAATAAATATTTGAACCTGAACCGAGTATGCGGCTCTGCCTTTGTGCAGCAGCTGCCATCTGTGATGCTCACAAACGCGGTACTGACAAACTTGACAGGCATGTGCCGTGAAATGTGCCGAAATATCCATTATTTATGGAATTGTTTACTTCAAAAAAGACAGTTATATTAAAGCACTCACCTTGGGCAGAAATCCTGATACACGCACTAAGGTTTTTTCACTTTACGTTGTACTGCTAGATTCCGAAAGCAAAAAAGAGTCGGCTGCAGCAGGCGGTGTCTGCACAGAGTAACGATAGTATACGCTAGTCGATTATATTCAACTGGTCGCCAGTTAGTCCTAATTGTAGCTTAGTCTGATACCTGCCCTTGTGCAGGAACATAGTTCCTGCGACTTGCAATGTTTTTTTTCTATAGAGCAGCATTATTGCAGAGAAAACTGTATTTCATTCAAGACAAATATAACACCAAAATGGCCCTCGAAATTCATCTCAATGCTATCATTACGCAAGTAAAAATTTTCCGATTATAGAAGGATCTTTTGAAAGAACATCTATCTAAATATACTAACATAGATATAAGCTATTATACAGAACATGCCATACGAGCATATGTATATTTTAGAAAATCAACCAAATGAATTTATTGTCTACATTGACCTTTTTCGATAGGAACATTACGTAATATGATAAAATGCTGGACATCCTCAATTCACGCAATGACGATATCGCACGATTGAGCCAAATAATCTAAGATATGTTTTACCGTACAGATGATGGAGCAGTCATCAACTTCTTCAATTTTGCTCATGTCTACCTCGATCAAATCTGCTCGACTGGAATCCGCCGCAAGCGTTGGTTCACTCACCTCGACGAAAAGCGCACCAGCAAAGGCACAACAGGCCCAAGCAATTGATCCTACCGAATGTACGCACGTTAATTTACCGCTCAATTATAGAGAGGAAAAAACCGCTGCGATAATATCCGAACGTTTGACAACCAATGGAAATATCGAATAATAGAATATTTAGTAGGGTGTGTGATTTGCTATAAGTAGATATAGATCAATGACAAGAATAGTATCAACACTTCCTCGACTCACATCTGCTTGTCACACCTGTTTGTATTCTATGTAAGCACTGAACCGTAAGTCCTAACCTGTTTCACTTTTTAATTGAACCAAAATCAGGGTCCCCTTATAAACGACGCGGAGGTCCGGATGATGATGCTTACGCAACACTAGAGGGCATTCAAAGGGCGTACCTGCATCAGCAAGAGCAGCAGCAGCAGCAACAGATCCAGTGGCAACAGACCATGGCCAACGCGACCTCTGGCTCGAACAATTCTAGCAGCTGTAGTAATAACGGTCAAGGCCAAAACGGAGCCTCATCCCTAGTTTCGCAAGGACCCTCAGGCCATCATTTCATGCACCACCCGTCGTTGCATCCACCGCGCATTAGCAAGAGTCTTCTTCATGAGGCCGAGTCTATGGAAAGTCTCTTGAGTGCTCACTCCCAGCAACAGCAGCAGCAACAGCAAATGGCTCAAGCCCAGGTTTGTAGTCAATAGAGAATTTGTACAAACAGACAGACTCCCACGCCAAATACAACCTAGGCTGGATGGTAAACTGGTGGTCAAATATACACCGAACAGCGAGTTTTACGAGCAAGTCGTATTAAGCGGGTGTAGGAAGTTGTATGTTTGTCAGGGAGATACGGAAGTATCTCACTCGTAAGCTTAGACTTGTCGCGCCCGTTGTGATAGGTTATCTGTGGTATGATTCGTGAGCTAATGATCTTGGTAACTCAACTCGAATTTCGCGTGAAGTCATGTTTAAATGTGCGTGATACAAGTATCTTTATCTAAAATTAGCAATGTTAGTCAACCTATTCACAGCATCCGAAACTATCGCATGAATGTATTGAAGCCCAAGAGCGAATGAATGCGCCTGTTTGTGGGTAGAAAATTGAAATATGAATTTATACCCGTAGGACGAAGGGTCCTATCTGGGATTTTAGATTAACGCTAATCATTTAGTCGTTCTTATTCGCCCCGTCTTCTTTAGTAGAATGTGTCTTTCTTACTTCTGCCATTAAAATTGATCATTATGGTATCCTTATGTTAACGTTGTCATTTTCATATCGGCGACGCCGTGTATATATGGTTTCTATATCTTTATCTTATCATTTCTAAATGTATGCTAAGTATTGTTTATCCCATTCATATAATCTAATCAGCTCTCTAACGTATCCTGTGCCTTAGGCTTGTACTCTTCTATTTACATCAATGTGAATGCCGTGGGCTTTTATTAAAACGTAACCGTATTATGATTATCGTAATTATGGAAGGTAGTTCTATATGAAAGTTAAACTAGATTGTTTATATCGATCTTCCGACTTAGTTGCTTGCCGTGTCGTACTCATGCATGCACAAAAAGTCCCTCTATGAAAGTAACCAACAAATGCCTGCTGCTTCCCAAATGTCCTTTTCGTTCGTTTGATCGCCTGGACCGGAATATGCCTTCTCCACCCACCCAGTCGGAGAGCTATCAAGGCCAGCATCAGGCATCCAGCCATGGAATGACCTACTACAACCACCACCAGCAAAGTAGCCAGTTAATGGCTAGTAACAGCGGTGGTAGTCCTGGCCAGCAGGCCCTGCAGCACATGCGGCTGATGATGCAGGCCCGCTCCCCTCATTCCACCTCCCCAAACAGTGGCAACAACAATCACCCCAACTTAAGTTTAAACAACAGTCCGTATAGCTCGCCTCAAAAGGTGCTTCCTCAAAAAAGCCTGAATGCTCCAACCTCCTCGCCTCATTCATCTATTTGTTATTCACCCCCGTCGACTCCCCAACGCTCGCACTCGTCCATGTCCCATCACCGTTCCGATGCAACAAGCTACACTTCCCTACAAAGTTGCCCTACGCAGTACTCATCGACGGCCGGCGCCGTCCGACCGTTGATGGGTTCCCCTTTAACCTCGTCCCCGATTTCACCCTACCACCAATCGCAATACCAACAGCCATCAGCTTACGCCTCGTCTTCGCTCAAGATAAACCGCGCCGAACGGAGACAGGCACTGGACTACGCCAGCAAGACGCTGCCACACAACGCGACAATGGCAAGCGGAAGCTCCCGACTTTCCCAGGTATCAAATGAGAACTTTATAGAAACAGCAAGGTAGGACAGGAGTACACTTGAAGAAGATAACTCGATCAGATGTCAGATAGATTTGTGCATCGTGAATTCATTATCACCAAAAAGGAACGGCAACAGACGCTCATTTATCACACGAGCCTCTCTGCATGCAGGTGACGGTAATTAGTAAGGCAGCGCACCCCTAGTACTGCTCTATCGTATTCACTTTTGATCTATGCTAAATTGATTTTTAAATCAACCAGATCACATCTGGGCTAATCTGGTGAAGGTACAAAATCTATACAAATTTAATTATTACGATGAAGGGTAACGGGCATCTGGCGTTCGACTAGGCCATGAAACGAAAACGCAACACCTAGATACAGGGAACAAGATAGAGTGGATTGTAGAAATCTTTGCAGCTCTGTTCTGGATCGGACTATATGAAGCATGATATGAATATGATAAATCAACCGATATCGGGAGGGTGAAACGCGCAATATAAAGTCTCTTCTTAAACATAAATTCAATTCAAATGTAAAAAAAGCGATCTTTCATTAGGAAATATGCATACGCGATAACAAAGAAGCTTTCATATGGAGTAGCTGGCGCATCTTATACGTTCGCCTAAATTGCTTATTTCGACAACAAGTGGAAATTGCGGATCTCGCCCCGAAAACACCCACCCACTCTGAACCACCTGCAGGCCCACTGTGGCAGGCTTCATGTTTCTGCACGTCTATAATAATGTCCTTCTCGACACTTAGTATCCCAATTCACTTGTCCTTTTGGCGTTCTTGTCACACAAACTACCCATCGCAATTAGCTTTAACATGGTATATTTTTGTGTGTGTGTGCGTGTCTGTCTACATATATTCAACGCTAGTTTTATTACACAATAAAGAAATATTACATAGGGTGTTGATTCATAAACGCTGCTTGATATGTTTTCCTATCGGTTCACGTGCATTCTTTGCATTTGGATAATGGCTTTTCTTCGTAGTTCGTGGCTAGTTCCTATATGCACATACTTATTTACGATCACGATAGAGAGTCCCGATACTGAAGGTACCCAACGGGTTTACCGCGTTTGCATTAGAAGAAAGAATAACATTTCTCAATGCATGCCAATAGCCCTAACAGCTACGCGGCGATAAAATACTTACCAGGAGTCCATGTACTGTGTGTCAATTCATAGATATGGGAGCAAGTTTGGACTCGTTGAAAATTTTTCCACCGCCATCCAGATTCGAAACGTAAACTGTTTTAGTAGTAAATTTAGATAGATAAATATAGGAAATAGATAATTTTCATTTTCTGTGTGTTTCTCGTTCGCCATTTGTAAGCGGTACTTTGTAAGCAGCATGTAAGAAAGAGCGAGCCTTGCCGTACGCAGCTCGAACGATTTATTAGTATCGCACTGAAGTGACGATCCGATTTACGAACCTGCGTGTATTGCTAACTTGTCTTCGTATTCTCTTCTGACAATTCATCTAATACATAACGGTCCTCCCGGGGTTTTAGGGAGGCTCCCGGTTCTTGTACGGCGGCTCTTCGGGTTTGAACCACGTCACTCCTCCGAGGAGCGTTCGCTTCCCCAAAGACGACGAAGGTTAGTAAATAAACCTTTACATCATTCTAATCGCTCGCTTAACGAACAGCGAAAGTTCCGAATTAATGCAATCGTTTACTGCATTTTTGTAGTACATGATACATTTACTTAGCGTTTACGAAACTCCTACCTACTAGGCATTACCTAAGAACAAGCAGTAAGAGCACACTGTTTTTATTATTATCGCTTCGTGCAGGTGGCTGTGGTGGTTTAGGATCTACGCTATCGCTGGTGTCAACGACGTCCTCAATGTACTCTTCTCCAGAAGAGCGTCACGCTCTTGAGCTCAGGAGACTCCGCAAAGAGCTCGAACATTCAAACGACAAGGTGGTCACACTCACTGCCCAACTCACCACTAATGTAAGTAACCCACAGCCAGTGTGCGACTAAGCGTAAGGTCAAACTCACAATCGTATAGCTGTGCCTATTAAGCTTATTGACGTCCCATTTCGACCAGAATAGTGTTACATATCCGTGAAGTCATCGACTGAAGTTTCGTTGATCGCCTTGTTTGGATCACAGGTGATGACGAGCACGAGACAATTCCACTCAGAAAATTTCGCTAAATAGTGCCTTCATTAGATCTATTATAGAACACGTAGGATATTCGGTCAAATGGATGGCTTTGCGAGGAAAGAACGATTACGATGTGGTAAACACGATCAAAAATTAACATCAGATCTGTAAAATATTGTTTGAAATTGTTACGTATTATTATCTACGTCAGACCCGCTCAAGAATTTCGCCGACGGATAGTATGGCATATGGGTGATGAGAGACCAGGTTGAGCTTTTAAATGTGCCGAAAAAAAAAACGAAGTTCCTCATTGCTTAAGTAGCAAAAAAAAGTATCTGTTCTCGCCTGATTTTCGGGTGTGTTCTTAAAGGAGACGCAAATTAATTTCAACGTGAAGTGCTGCTTACTTGCGTCTAGTCCACTCGGGCATATGAACTTATTTTTATAAATAGAACCATAATGAACGTGCATGGAACAGTAGCATTTAGATATATTGATACAAAAATTATGGTGAAGCACTAAAAGTACGGTGTACTCGATAATCTTTGAACGCGGCTTTGGGGCCGCCTGAAGTTACTTTAGATGGATCGAAGTTGTGAGCAGTTCTAGCTATTACAAACTAGAATTGCATGTCCTGTAGCTGTGGCCTGCGCTATCGCTTGATGCGCTCGAGCTGCTACTCTATTCAATTCAGCTCTAATCGACTCGTTCCCACAATCTCTTTTAGGACAAATAGATGCATGTACGGCTATATTTTTTCTGGTAGCAATCTCCAATGCGGGCTATTAACTAGGACACCTTTGCTCCTTATTACCTAGTAGCGAAAACCTATCTGCATATTCGTGACAGGGTTGTCATTACCCGTTACTGTCAGTATAATATTATTTTCCTGTCACGATGTCCTAACAGGCTGCAATGAAGTATGAACCGAAGCCGATGTTAATATCCAAACGTAAGGTCTTATGTTAAGTGGCTGTGTTCGGTCTAAAAGGGCCTCGCCTTTACATATTGGCTAGGCTCGTCGGGCTACCGCAGGTCCAGTGTGGCAGCAAATAAAGAACAAACGCAATGGGTTTTCACAGAAATCGTAATGATATTCAAGTGCGGTAATTGTGTTGAATTTCCTTTTCCTTTATTAAATAACTTCGCTTTTTATTACTTGGCTTTTTAAGCTTTTTATTAATAAAAATCGAGTCTAAATAATAAGCAATAGACATGAAAAGTCGATTCACTAAATTGACTTTTACCGTTTTCGATTTATATTAATTTTTTTGTTGTGCGACTTAAGAAGCATTTAAAGAAGCGCTTACCAATTCATTCAATTATTATAAGCAAAATACATATAAATCATGAGTGATGCATAGCTTTATCTAGGAAATGTAGATGTACAATTGAAAATATGTGAAATCTAAAAGAAGAAATCTGGAAAAGAGAAATTACGGCATTACAAAATTTTTGAAAAAAATACCTCTCAATAATGATGATGGTAAGATGATGCTAAGTTGTGCAAATATGTTTGTTCCTTATGTTTATTCAGTGCAAAACCACGAGAGCTTCTTCACGGAAAACTTGGCTCTAACACAGTCCGAAATAGGCGTAAAAGACTGATGATGGCATGAATAATGCCAGGACGGCTCAAACCTCAAATTTACAAAAGTATCGTACCAACCTTCAGCCGCATCCACGCCAAATATCATAACACTGCAGTATATTATACTGTAGACAATAACCGAGAGCATAAGTAATCTGCTAACCGCTAAAAAGATGCTATCTCGTGGGCAAATTTTTCTCAGAAATCGCTCAAGGTAACACTTCTACCGCCACAGCTGTCCATCCCGCTGGATGCCAAGATGACTGCGCCGTTAGAGTGCAAGCGAAAGGCCGATGGTTGCTCAATATTCGCTTTCTAAACCTCTGAGAAAGCATTACATATGTGGGTGGTTCATGTTTGGGCAGTACAGACTGCAATGAACAGATTTAACTAACCTAAGTTAACGGTCATGCCAACCCGAGAATAAGTGTTACTTTCTTTTTTGTCAAAATCAAAAACATACATTAGATAATTGTAATAACATAGATAATTGTAGAAAATTGAATATAAGAAGCATGACCCATGGTTTCAGAAACCACAAACAACACAATTTGATAGTCATAACGTATCTACCGTTCGGCTCACAAGAGCGGCACGCAACCTGGCAAGATAAACAAGAAGAAACATGGCTTTTTTGCCTGAGAAAACCTCACACTGCGAAGACAACCCAATGATCACGAGAAATTACGACGCCGGTAGCATGTCTTTTGCTTATACAATAGCAATTTTGCACGTCATAGGTCGTGTAAATAGTACCCTTATTAATAATCATTGCAGCTAGTAACAGTAGCCCGCCGCTAAAACCGTTCAGGCGTTGTGCATATGCGCATAGAAGAACTGAAAAGCATCAAGACGTACAATATCTTTCTTTGGGGGCCTTTCACTTTTTCCTTTGGGGAATCGTTCTATATTTAAATCAAGTCTAATTACATCCATCACGATTTTCTTCTCGTCTTCCAAAGGCCTGACGCCTTATTGTTTTTCGACAATCAAACAAAGACATTGGGTAGTTAAAAATTTTTGTTCTCACGGTAACCAATACAGAACATATGTATAGCACTAAATAAACTTGCTATTTGTTTGTAAGGCTATGTATGTTTATATAAACATTTAACCGGCCAGTGACAATAGCGAGACAAAGCCTTAAGCCGAGCTGGCCACGTGTATCAATTCAGTTTCTTGTTGCCTCTGGGCCCCGTCGACTCTCGAGTTCTACATCTCTTCATTGGCGTCTTGCCCTTTTGGTTCTCTCTGCAGAATGCCACTCCACTCCTTTTACCGACCACGTCTTTGCTGGCTCCGGATAGCTCCCCTCCAGATCTAATCCAGGAGCCAAGTATTGTAGCCCCGCCGATCTCTTCGGACGATCTCTAACAAAGACTAGAGAATAGTTCCTTCGACCCTGTTCTGACATGTCCTAGTGTTTTTCTCCAGAAAAAAAGATTCGGAGCGGCGGAAGAAATCGCTGCTTCGCCTCGTTGCTGATTGGATGCGATCGTGCTTTGAACGGATTTTTCCATAGCTCCTTTTCCATATGATCTACTCTGCCTTAAATCTCCAACGAAGGGACAGCCAGATCTTTTGCAGTTTGGCAACGTTTTAACTCGATTAGTGTTCAGATTTGCTGGGACACATTGCAGACATAAGACGAGGAACTATTTGTTCTCGTAACGAGTCAAACACAGCTCGGGAAAGACGAGATCTGATTCCATCGTACAAGTGTGTAAGTACCTTTCGTTGTGTGCGTAAAAGCCTGTGAAGCGGCATATCAGATGATTTGAGACAAATAATGTTCATTGAAGTTCGTCCTTTCGTGAGCAATCCGAACTGACCGTTACCCGCACGTAAAGAAACGCTTTTGTGACATGGAATATAGATAAAGTCCATCGCTGCTGCATTGGCTTGTAATCAGTCGCGGCTTGCTCCGATTAGTAAAACTAATACGGTAGACATTTTAGTCTAGCGACATCGTATGCCAAATAATATGTATTACGAGGGTATTGCGACGTTACTAGTCACGGGCTGGTGCGCATCGAACTGTAGGAACCGTTTTGTTCGGCTAGTAGACCCTTGTGAAAGCTTTTCTTTTTTTAAATAAGAGATGTACTCTGAGCTGTAAACGGCCCAGTGCCCTAGACGAGTCTCGAGTAACAGTCACTGCTGGTAAATCCTATAGTGTCTCTCTCATTGGAGATGAACCACTTGTTCTTGTTCGACGGGGTGCGACATGATACGTCGAGACGTGACAGCGGCTGTTGTCTCGACGTCCGGTGACCAATAGTGTAGTTGTCTTCCAGCTCTTCGTTTTCGACTGCTGTCAATGCCTGATTATCTATCTAGCTATCCTCTTAGAGCTGTCAAACTGTGTCCAGTTTTTTGAGTATTTGTTCGATGACTGAAGACCTTATCGACAATTTTTCCCTCTCTTGTGAATGGTCTGGGAGGCAATGATGATGCTACCAAAGTTGCCGTCATGGGGCACTCGGTTGTCCTTAAACGTCAACGTAGATAACAAAACCTATCACCAGCAATCAGTATTACCGCCTACTTAACTGGAGAACTGAGACACGTTCGTACATTGACGATCGTGTCTCTTTTGTTAAAAAAAAAATTAATTCGTTATAAATTCAGTGTAAATTCATTTCATCGAAGCGGACGCAATTTTACTGTCTAGCAGCTTTCGGTTAGCGATTTCATCCATTATATAATAGTGGAATACTAAGTGTTTTGACTACGTTAAGAACAGAGCAGTAAAGAAACAATGTAGTAAAAGATTTCGTTGCCTCTATGCGAGTTGCTGATGTTTAATACAAAACAGGTGCAGCCTTAAGACTTAACAACGGATCGAACACAAGACGGGACGTTATGGCGACCGCCTATGTACACACCATCAACAAGGTGAAGTTCAGTAAGGCTGACTATTGTTATCAAAAATTTATTGTTAACCGTGATCGTTTAGCATTCAGTCTCAACCATCATTACAGTAGCCTTGAAAATCTGTTGGATATTGTATGTATGTGATCCACTTGTGCGGCTTTCTCGAGTACAGCGTTCGCGATAATTGAAATGACTGGGTTGATATCGCTAAGCCCATCGGTGGTATGACTTGTTGTCTCTATTATCTCTCGATAAGGAAGATAGCCAGAGGATTAAGGTGACGATAATGACAGCCTTAAAAATCAGGTTATTTGAATAGAAAACGGGAGTAGATGCTTTGTGTGAAGCTGAACACCGTTACTTCATTTGATGGTAC